TTTAGATGTTTGTTGATACAATATCTTTATTTCATTTTTATGTTGTGCTGAGGATTGAACCCTCATCTGTGCTAGGCGAGCACTCTACAACTGAGCCACAACCTCATTCCCCCCATTACAATATTTTTAAGGTCTGAAAGATACATAATTTGGGGCTAAGGTTGTAGCTCAGTGGTAGAGCACTTTCCTAGCATGTGTGAGGCATTGGGTTCAATTCTCAGTGCTGCAAATAAATAAATAAATAAACAAACAAACAAACGTCCATGAACAACTTTTTTAAAAGATACATAATTTGCCCTTAATTTAAAACTTTGTTTTTCTAGAAGCATTTCAGTTTTGTATTTCAATGAAAGTCTAAAATATCTGCTCCTAAATATATATGTGGTTAAGAAACTTAATCTGGCCATGTTTTTAAGAATTCAAAACTTGCATATTTAAACCAAATCACATTTGTTATTTATTTAGGTAAACCAGCCTTGAAAGAGGAAAAAAAAAAAAACCACCCTGTTAAGCTTTGAATTTGAAGTTGAGTTTTACATGGTGGGCAATCTTTTCCCTCTCCCTTTTCACTAACTCATGTCCCACAGATCTGGCTTAGTTTTTCTGATATTTACAGTTCTTCTTCAGTAACCTTGTCAAGTCAGTTCTTTTATTATATGGGGATGAAGAAATAAAGTTTTATTGCTTTTCGAGTTCAAACTTAATGTATATTGTTCATAAAGTGATGAGGGAAAGGCCATTTTGAAGAAAATGATTCACATCATCAAGTAAAGAGGTGAAGGTAGGTGACCTGTAAGCTGCGGTCCTGTCTGTAACTTCTTGACCTCTCTGGGCTTCAGATTTCCCATCTGTCCAGTAAAGAGCTGGTTTCCAGCTCCCCAAGTTCTTAGTCCTTCCCATCATGAATTTTACCTTATCATTAACTACAGGCAGTATGTAATGTTTGAACCGTTGTATTCACTAATTTTTACTTAATATTTGTTTTAAACCAATTCTTTTTCATTTTAAACTTAAATAAGTATGTTTTAAAAGAAAGCTTTATATCCCTGCCATTAAAAAAAAGAGTGTCATCCACATAGATGGTAATCTGAAAGTTTTTAATTTAATGAAAACCATACAGTATTATTAAATTCTAGCTCTACATAGTTGTCTGCTGAAGACTCTGAGCCTGAGGCTTGTCTTCTATTTCTTAAAAAGGAAGATAAAAGTGTTAGAGAGTTCTGTGTTAGCACCAGACTGAGACTTTCTTCTTGATATAATTAGAAGTCTGAAAAAAAAAACCTGAAAAGAAGCTAATTTTCCCATTGTGTCACTCACTGTCCATATGCTTCTTAAAATTATCTTGTACACACTAGTGGTACACATCCCTAACCCTGTGGTTGGGGGGCTTGGGGAAGCTGGGTTGAATTTTGTCCAAGGTGTCTTCCAGCTACAATTTATTATACTGAAGACCAGTAATTTCACTTTATAGACACACAAGAGATATTAAAGGTGCATTTCTCTTCTGATGCTTCAATATGCAGAAACACAAACATCTTATAGTAAGAGCTGACTCCTCTCAGTACTCCATGACTCTGGGTAACTTGTTCAGACACGAAAAGGTAATGAGGAAGTGTGAATAAGAGCAGGAATGAGAATCCAACTGGTCAACTTGATTTGGTTGTTGTAAAAGACCTTTATCTAACAATCAGATTGAAAAATTTCATTAAATCAGAAGAAACTATTTTTGTCGGAGCTGAAAGGCAAATGCTGGGATCAGTTTGACAAAGTAGTAGATGTCTTCTGTAAAGAATTGATGCAGTTTGGGAAATATTGCCAAACTTACTCAACCATCTTTAACTTGTTCTGACAGTGACCATTCATATGGTGAAAGTAAATGTTTAAAAACTTAAATGAATAGCTGTTTCTAAAGTACCATCTCACAGTTTTGTTTGTATTTTTTTTTTTTTGCTATAAGCTTGTACAATTAGATACAGAGAAAACCTCTATTGAAAAACTTTGCTTTCTCCTTTGTAGAGAGTTTCTAGAGTTACACAAATGACTAAAGCTTAGAATCTTTTCATTATCCAGAATGAAGTAAAATGAATAATTAGAGCTGACTTGCACGGAAAGTAGCAATGGAAAATTAGTGGGAAAATTCATTTTTACTTCCACTGCCAACATAAAACACCATAGTGGCAATTGAGATATCAATATTTTTTAATAAACATTTTACTTGACAGGAACTGCAAGGAAACCTATCCATTTGCCTAAGTCATACAGGCAATACCTTCATAAGATTAACTCTGGCGTTAGCTGCTTCAGACCCTTGATTCTGAGAGTGATGGTGATTCACCATCACCAAAAGCAGTCTCAAAAAGACCCCATGGCATTTGTCATTGTGAGACACTAATTTTCAGTTAGTGCAAGCTTCTGTTTCTCCCTTATGCCTTGATCCACTTAATTCCTACTTCATTCTGTCAAGAAAAATAAAATAAAATAAACATAGCCTGGGTACATGAGCTACAAGGCAAATTATCCCTATACCTAAAAAAAAATCAGAAATTGGATTAGGATCTTCAAATTCAAAAACTTGGCATTTTGGAGAACAGTAACGTGGGACTCAGGAGCCCTGGTTTCTTAAAGACTAGCTCTATCACTAACAGTGTGACAGCACTTTGCTAATCTTTAGTATCCTTGTCCTAAAAAAAAAAAAAAAAAAAAAGGATGAGAAGAAATCTATACAGCTGCTTCTTGCTTGAAAATCCAATCATTCTGTTTACCTGCTATGGTGCTATAGGGATATCTAGTGTTTAAAATAATGTTTAATAATCTCTAAGTAGCAAGCCAGACTGGTAAAAGATTTTTAAAAAGACCAGGCAACATAAACTCTCATCAATCCTGGACCTTATTAAGGGATTAATAATAGACCCACAATTATATGTACATTGTGTTTCTGATTTGCTAGTTAACTCATTGACTCTCCTATATATTGACTTTTGAGAAGCTAAAAAATGATAGATATGGACCAAACCATTAAGTATATAACCTTCAAATATACCTGCATTAAAATTTTACTTATTGCATTCATTTTAATTGTATTGTGGTTAAAATTTCAAAGAGATAAATATCTCTCTTTATTTGAGAACCTTAGCTTTGAAACATTTATCACTAAAATAAACACAGACTGATACCCAACAATTATATATAAAAATGTCCATGAGTAACTAGACTAATATGGGTCCTTGTGTAAAATCAATGACCCACTTTAAGCTTTACAGGAGGAGCATGTGAAATATTTCTATTCTAAAGGACTAGCTGAGAAAATGCACCAAAACTTTTATTCACTTCTAGTCTTCCATTACAGCATCATCCAACAACCTAAAACTTTTGCCAAAGCCTATGTTTTCTAGATGTTTTGACAAAACAAAGAAATGCATTTATTTTAAATTTGAACCCAAATGTGATCATTTGCAATTAAAATGATTTTAAACTGTAACATTCTGTTTCCCAAGAGCAATTATCTGACTAAGAACTATTGCAGGTAATAGAGATTTTGTTCAGCCAATATTTTGTTGAAATCCAATCTTTCTAAATGGGTAACTGGCAAACTTCAGTGGGGTTCTGTGGCTCAACTTATGATTAAAGTTATTCTGGAGAAATAATCTTCAGTTTGATGATCATTCACTCAGCAACCAGGGTTCTGCTATGTGTCAGACACATAGTAATCTCATGTGCATTCCTTAGCAAATCACATTTTCTAATGGAATCAAATAAAAACTATCTAGTGACTCAAGCATTAAATTATATTCTAGAGGCCAAATGTCAACCCATTTATAAAATGAGAGAGAGAAAAAAATAAGGGGGAGGGCGGGACCTGAGACTAAACACCATGAGAACTAGATCCTGAGATTACCTTCAGCTCTGACTCTCTTTCCTGGATTATATACTTTACACACCTGATTTTCTTCATGAAGAGGAGGCTGCATAGCACAGTGATGATGCTGCCTCTGCAGCCAAATTTGCTTTTGAATCCTCACTTCTCCACTTCCTAGATTCAGAACTTGAGCAAGTTTTTAAAACCTCTTTAAGACTAAGTTTCTGCTTCTCTAAGTTGGAAATATGCTGCAGGGATAAAATGAGATAATGTGGGTAAAGCTCTTAGTACTGCGCCTGGCAAATGATAAGCACTCAGGAAAGTGTAGCTTCAATTTAATCTTGTCATTAGCAGACCATAGAGATGACAGATGAACTAAGATTTATTAAGTTCCTAGTGCTCCTTGGGCAAAATGAGGTTCTAGAAATTACCCTGTCCCCATTCCCTCTCCCCACCCTCACCCCACACTAGTTTCTTCTTTATGGGTTCGAAAACTAATTCTCTAGCTTGTGTATCATCCATTTTTTTTCATCTCCTGTTTCTAATTCCTGATGATTCATTTTAGAAATATCTATGTACATCAGCAAAATCATCAGCAGAGAAAAATAAAAATGATAAAAATTAAATTATTACCTGAAATTTGTTTATTAGTAGATATTTCTAAGTGCTATAATTTATCATTATTTTATCCTTTTGACTTATGCTTTTTTATTTTCGAAATTTTTAGATTGACATGCATTATTTTTTGAAAGAAAAAATGTATTTAAAAAGTATGCATGGCTGGAGGAAGTTATTTATTAAACTCAATAAAGATGTGATTATGGCGGATTGTGTGAAATAACTGGAGCACGCAATGAGGGCTAGAGGAAAATCATTTTAGTGAAAATCCCAGGACTTAGAGTTAGAAGGCATTAGGTTAAATTCTAGTACAGTGGTTTGACAGTTGTACGACCTTGGTCATTTAATCTTGCTAATCTTCGTTTCTCTCATCCATAAAATGGGGTAGTAATATTTTCCAGTAATTTTTTGGAATTTAGGTGAGATTGCATGTGAAAAATATGAATTATGGCACAGAGTGGATGCTCAAATATCTTAATTGACTTGAAACCTAAAGACTAAATGTCTAAAAGAATTTTAGACTTACCTAAAAGAATTAAGTGAAGCAGATCCAAAATGGTGGGCTAGAGGGAGGCTGCATTCCTTGTTCCTCTGTGACCTGGGATTGAAGCAGTGGAATTATTAGAACCTGTGAATTATTAGAGGACCCCCAACATCTGCTTCTGTGCAGGAATCCTGGCTGCCATGTCTGCATAGGTTGCCTGGCCTCAACTTCTGTGCAGGACCCCTAGCCACTGCTCCTGTGTGTACCCCCATCTACCAACATTTATCTATCTCTGCTAAACCCAAGGCCAACATCATTCTAAATGGAGAAAAATTGAAAACATTCCCTCTAAAACCTGGAACAAGACAGGGATGCCCTCTTTCACCACTTTTATTTAACACAGTTCTTGAAATTTTAGCCAGAGCAATTAAACAGATGAAAGAAATTAAAGGTATACAGATAGGAAAAGAAAAACTCAAAACTGTTTATAACTATTTGCCAATGACATGATTCTATACATAGAGGATCCAAAAAAATCCCACCAGAAAGTTTCTAGAACTACTACATGAATTCAGCAAAGTAGCAGGATATAAAAATCAACACCCACAAATGAAATGCATTTCTGTACATCAGTGACAAATGCTCTGAAAAAGAAACCAGGAAAACTTCCCCATTCACAATAGCCTCAAATAAATTTAATAAAATAATTGGGAAAAAGCTTAATGAATGAGATGAAAGACCTCTACAATGAAAACTACAGAACAGAAATTAAAGAAGACCTTAGAAGATGGAGAGATCTCTCCTGTTCTTGGATAGGCAGAATTAATATTGTCAAAATTAGCATACTACTAAAAGCACCATACAGAGTTAATGCAATTCCAATTAAAATTCCAATGATATTCCTCATAGAAGTAGAAAAAGGAATCATAAAATTCATCTGGAAAAATAAGAGACCCAGAATAACAAAAGCAATCCTTAGCAAGAAGAGTGAAGCAGGTGGCATCACAATGCCAGACCTTAAACTATACTACAGAGCAATAGTAACAAAAGGAGAATGGTATTGGCACCAAAATAGACCTGTCGACCAATGGTACAGAATAGAAGACACAGAGACAAACTCACATAAATACAGTATAAATACATATAAATACATATTAGACAAAGGCATCAAAAACATATATTGGAGAAAAGATAGGCTCTTCAACAAATGATGCTGGGAAAACTGGAAATCTATATGCAGCAAAATGAAAATAAGCCCCTATTTCTCACCTTACACAAAACTCAAAGTGGACCAAGGACCTAGGAATTAGACTAAGACCTTGCGATTAGAAGAAAAGGTAGACCCAAATCTTCATCATGTTGTATTAGGCTCTGACTTCCTTAACAAGACTCCTATAGCTCAAGAAACAAAATCAAGAATCAATAAATGGGATGGATTCAAACTGAAAAGCTTCTTCTCAGCAAAAGAAATAATCAATGAGGTGAAGAGAGCCTACATTTTGGGGGCAAATGTTTGCCACACACACATCAGATAGAGCACTAATCTCCAGGATTTATAAGGAACTCAAAAAATTTAACACCAAAAGAATAAATAAATAAAACCCAAACCCAAATGACCCAATCATAAATGGGCTAAAGAACTGAACAGACACTTCTCTGGAGATAATATACAACAAATATATGAAAAAATTTTCAACATCTCTAGCAATTACAGAAATGCAAATCAAAACTGCTCTAAGATTCCATCTCACTCCAGTAAGAATGGCAGTTATTAAGAATGCAAACAACAATAAGTGTTTGCAAGGATATGGGGGGAAAGGCACACTCATACATTGCTGGTGGAACTACAAATTGGTGCAACCAATATGAAAAGCAGTATGGAGATTCCTGGGAAGACTTGGAATGGAACCACCATTTGACCCAAGTATCCCACTCCTCGATTTATACCCAAAGGACTTAAAAATAGCATACTATAATGACACAGCCACATCAATGTTTATAGGAGCACAATTCACAATAGCTAAATTGTGGAACCAAACTAGATACCCTTCAGTAGATGAATGGATAAAGAATCTGTGGTGTATATATACACAATGTGGTGTATATATACTCAGCATTAAAAGAGAATAAAATCATAGCATTTGCAGGTAAATGGATGAAGTTGGAGATTATCATGCTAACTGAAGTTAGCCAATCCCCAAAAAACCAAAGGCTAAATGTTTTATCTGATAAGTGGCTGCTGATCCATAATGGTGGTGGGGAAGAGCATAGGAGGAATGGAGGAACTTTGGATAGGGCAAAGGGAAGGAAGGGGAAGAAAGGGGGCATTGGGGCAGGAAAGATGGTGGGATGAAATGGACATCATTACCCAATGAACATGTAGAAAGACACAAATGGTGTGACTCTACTTTGTGTACAAACAGAAAAATGAAAAATTATGCTCCATATATGTACTATGAATTGAAATTCATTCTGCTGTCATGTATACAAAATTAGAATAAATTAATAAATCTAACAAAAAGAATTAAGTGAAAACGTAGACAAAAGCTCCTGCAATAATTGAAATTATCTCATGTATTTTGCTACCCCCTTCACTGTAACATGGTAAAAACTAAACTTAATATTTTCTCTCATACTTCCCACCAAAACCCAGATACTTTCCTTATCATTATTAGTATTATTGATGAAAATATCCACTTTATAGTTCTGGAAGCTAATGACATTGATCCTTCCCAACTCTTGACTTTGCAAGTCAATCTGCTCATATTTCCAATTGAGGTTTCCTCTGAAACGTATGTTTTGTTTCACCCTTTTCCTCCATTTCCATTGATAGAGTCCTGACACATGCTGCTCTTCTTCCACTCTTAATGGGGTTTAATCACACTAGTCTCTTCTCTTGACCATATCCTAGATCTAATGACCCACAAATCTTCAAACTTCATTTTCATCACAACACTTTCTTTCATTAAAATCTTTAATCTAAATTCCTTGTGTTGTATTTAAGAATCTCCTCTAAGCTATAACCGATTGTCCTTCCATCTAATATTATATTTCTACTTGCATCAGCTCTAACTATCCTAAAGACACTAGTTTGGCACTTGGTTTTTCTATTCAAATTTATTCCATCATTGTTCCTTACACAGAACACTATGCCTTTGAACACTGCTTTCCTTCAGGGTTCCTTAATTTCAGCACTATTGATATTTTGAGTTGCATTATTCTTTTTGTGGGAAACTGTCCTGTGCAGTGAAGGATGTTTGTCAGCATCCCTGACCTCTATTTTGTTCCCAGAAATCACTAAGTTTACCCTTTGGGGCAAAACTGCTCCCAGTTGAGGACCTCTGTTCTATGTTTTGCTCATGTGCCACAATAATTTTACTCTCAGGCACATGACAGTAAAAGTAGAAACAGTTTTTAAAAACATTTATCCTAAATTTAGTAATTTAATCTATAATTGTTGTAATAAATATCCATGTAATTTCTAGAGGTGTACCAGAGGATGCAGAATACATTGCATTCATATGTCACATATTCTTCTGATAGGATAGTATTTGCCTCATTTAAAAGTATTATGCAATATTAAATAAAAAGATCTTTCCAATCCTAAGCCTTATCAGGAAAGTAAAAGGCCTCATTTGTTTATTTTATTTTGCTATGTTAATTGCATATATGTATATATATATACATATATATACACAAAAATAAATATATACACATATATATTTTTCTTCTTGGTTATTTATATTAAACACATATTCATGGCAGTGCAGAAGGAAAATGTAGTTCATGCCTGATACTGTCTGTAATCCATATAAACATATTTACCAGTGGGTTTGTTAAATGTTAACTAATCTAGTATTAAGTGATTTTCATAATGCAAAATTATGGATTATGTAGATTACTATACAGGAGGTTAATAGTATTCTACTGATGTTTAGGGGAACTGGTTGAAGTTTTTGCATGCACCCAGAATGTGTTTTTCTTTTTCTCATTTTAAATAATAAAATATTTGCATTTTCTAGACAAGCTTTTCCTTCCTACACATTTTTGGGAGTAGATTAGATTCAGGTAATTAGGAGTACCTGTAGATCCATTACTTAAATACTAAAAATATTAGGCTATGTGCTAAACATTAATATACACTATTTCTTTAAAACAAACTACCTCAACAAAGATAACTAGAAAGAAAAAATGGAGAATAAGTGTGGAACAGAAGTAGAGAATTTCATTTTACATTTTTTTAGAAAAGATATAGATTATACTGGTTCTTACCCCTGATACAAGATGAAAATATTGCTATTATCATTATAAGGACAGGGCATTCCATTCCTTTACTTTCCAATTCTCTCTTCCATGCTCTGAATCCAAACTATTGCTCATTCTATTTCACTAATATTCTATTAGCCATGTTCATCAATAGCCTCTGAAGGTGGATGCAATGGGTTTTAGTCCACATCCTACATGACTTCTTGACTTGAACACCTTTGACAATTCAGTCCTTTTTAAACTACTCCATTCTCAAATACACACCCTATGCCTAGATTTCTCATCTCATCTACAAATTCTACATTCTATTACACAGTAGTTATCACAATTTGGTGTCTTACAGATGAACTTATGGTATAATTATGTGACACTGAATTCACATCTTTCTTACTCAAATCTTTGTTTTCTTTCTCTACTCCCATTTCAATAAATTACTTCACACTACCTCATTTATGGAAATCCTTACTTATTGCCACTTCCTTCATTCTGAATCTCGTTTTTTTTAATTTTTAAAACTTGTTCTAATTGTTATACATGACAGTAGAATGCATTTTGACATATCATACATGAATTGAGTATAACTTCTCATTCATCTGTTGTACATGATGTAGAATTAAATAGGTCATGGATTCACATATGCACATAGGGTAATAATGTCTGATACATCCTATTATCATTCCTACCCTCATGCTCCCTCACCTCCCTTCACTCCCCTCTGTTTAGTCCAAAATACTACTATTCTCCCACCTCTCCCAGCATCCACATATCAGAGAAAACATTTGGCCTTTGGTTCTTTGGGATTGGCTTATTTTGCTTAGCATAATATTCTCCAGTTCCATCCATTTACTGGAAAATGCCATAATTTATTCTTCTTTAAGGCAGATTAATATTCCATTGTGTGCATATACAACAGTTTCTTATCCATTCATCTGTTGAAAGGCAACTAGTTTGGTTCCATAGTTTAACTATTGTGAATTGAGCTGCTGTAAACATTGATGTGGCTGTGTCACTGTAGTATGATGATTTTATGTCCTTTGGGTGTAAACCTAGGAGTGGGATGACTGGATCAAATGGTGGTTTCATTCCAAGTTTTCTTAGGAATCTTCATACTGCTTTCCATAGTGGTTGCACCAATTTGCCATCCTAGCAGCAATGTATGAGTTCACCTTTTTCCACATCCTCGTCAACATGTATTGTTGCTTGTCTGAATCTCATAATATTTGACCACTGTATGTGGCAACTTCTGAATTACTTTTTTAGGTGGTCAACTAAGTATTAAAATAAGTTGCTTATTTTCCTGAATTGACTAATCACATATGCTCAGATAGATGATATAATGACAAAGCTGTCAAACCATGCACAACATGAGACAAAATACAGCAAGACTGCAGGAAGAAGGCAGTGACAGCACAGGTGAAGAACAGGGGTCTTCAGGTCCAGGTGTGCCATGGAAAGTAGCCGAATTTGATCACCAAGAGATACACAGGTAGTGCCAAATTCAGAGGTAGAAACAAGAACCAAAGATCAACTCCTGAAACCAACCAAGATAACTCAGAAACCAGGAAGCAGCAATGGAAGGATCTGTAGAATTCTGCAGAATATTTCATTCTTTATCCAGACTATCTTAATAAATCAAGTGTATATTTGCTAGTTCTTATACAATAACATCTTAAAAGATGTCATGAGACATATAGGATAACTCCTTTCAAGAAGCAAGGTAAAATATTTCAAATGAGTGTCAAAATAGGACATGGCTGGATTGAGCCAGAAATAGGCCATAGAAAGGTATAACTAAATAAACTATTTGAGAAAAAGGTGAAATTTATGAATAATTATATGTCATATTTAGCTTCTTTATGTCAATGTCATTCTAGGAGATCTTAAGGTGAAGAACTTTACCTTCACTCATACTTAGCTGTCTCTTTTGATATTTACTCAGGCTACATTAGTCTTATATATATATATATATAAGTATAATTTTACTCACTTGAAACAGGATATGATACAATTTGTTCTTGTTGCTTGAAGTGTATTAGAGAAAGTGTTGACAGAGTTGTTCTTTGGCTAAAATAGTAAAGAGCCTGTAAAAATAATTAGTTACAAATAAATAATAGGTATAGTAAAAGATGTAATTTCAGGTAAAGTACTAATAAGTTTATTTAGAAATAAACTGATATAATGTTTTGTTTTCTAGGCAATATCAACTTGTAAAATAGCCCTTAGGTTCTGAAAACCTACTGAGTCTTAATTTTTTTGCAAAACTTTAAGTGAAAGCTGATAAAACTATTTTTGTTGCTCTCAGTGTATAGATAAAAGTTGAGGGTCATCACATTCCTTGGTTCATTGATGAATAAAAGAAATGTACAAAATGGAATTTGTAAATTACTGATTCTTCTTATTTTAAGAAATTTAACTGATATGAGCAAAGTAAACATATAATTTATAAGGTCTGTTTAGATCTTCATTTTAAAAAGCAAAATGCTTTCTTTGTTCTAATTATAGTCCACAATAATTTTGTGGGTTCCATTGTCCTCATGAGTAACTCTGAACTCTATCCTTATAAAGATGAAGAGTTATGGAGCAGATTATGTGAAATGATATGTAGTTAAGAGTAATTAATAATGATTATAATATCCACTAATTAATAAATCCTTCTAATTGCAGTTACTTATAATAGTGAATTAAAAAATGACTTCATTTTAATAGATCAATGAGAGGAAAAAAAAGAAAGTCTTTATGTTTTGTACAGACTGGGTATATGGAAACCTAATAGATGACAGAACCTGTTAAAGATATAATTTAGGTGGCTTGACCATAGTTTTTTTTTTTTTTTTAACAAATCTTCCAAGGAAAGATCTTTTTTCTCATTAGACTCTCCATGCCCTAATGTTTCATTGTTAACAACTATCAAAACATTTCCTTTGGATTAACATGATAAGATATCATAAATGCAACTCTGCAGAATAATCTGATTTCCTGATATCTAAAAATACATATCTGCACAAACAAGGTGATTGTTTAAGAAAATGAACCAATCAACCAATATGAATCTAACTGATATTACTATGCCACATCAATGTCTAGTCTTCTATTGTTTCTAGTAAAATTATTGCACTTTTTTTTTCAGTACTGGGGACTAAACTCAGGCATGCTCTAGCACTGAGCTACATCTTCCAGCCCTTTTTATCTTTTGAGACAGCAACTCACTAAGTTTCTAAGGACAGTCTTAAACTTGAGACCCTCCTACCTCAGCCTTAGCATCTGGAAAAACTATCTTATATCTTAATTTCACTCATGCAGATCATTATATGGGTCCTAAAAAAAAAATCCAGTGAGATAGGCAGCACAGATTTTTCTCAATGTATACTGATAAGAAACAGAGACATATAGAATGTGGCCATGAAATATCATAAAGAATTATGTCAATTATGTCTTCTCTAAAATAAGGAGTAGGGGAGGGATGAGCGTCTCAACAGCAAGAAGTGACAAATGAACACCAAGATTCTACAGAGAGAATAAGTTGGCCTTATAGAGATCTTTATTTCAATACCAAAAGGCTCTTTAGAGTTTTTCTATCTGAAGAGTCTCCAGTTTCAGGAAACTTTCACATGGTGTTCACTTTAAATATTGACTTTCAAAACAGCTTGATTTTAGTCTGAAGGTGAAGGAGGTATATTTATCTCATTAGATTACATGGAAAACCAGAAATCAGGTGGGGGTGGAAGTAGTGGACCTTCTAAAACTCTTAAAGATCTTTTGAATTCCTTTGTTGATAAACTGGTCCTGGTTAAAGCTAAAATCCTGGAAAAAAAAAAAGAGGTAACAAAAGAAAAACAATTTCATAAGGAGTGTACAAGAGTTGAGCTAATGTTGTATCTGACAAGTTCTTTTTAATCCTAAGCATGTTCAAGAAATGGTGGGTGGGTACCTGTCCAGAATGTAGTTGGGTGGTGGGGCACTAGCCTAGTATGTTCTACGCCCTCAATTCAATCCCAAGCACAAGAAAAAAAAAAAAGGAAGAAATAAAGAAAGTGAGAGAGAAGAAGGAAGAAATTGCATCTTTACAGTTAAGACAATGTCTTTGTCCCTAGCTGACATTAATAATAACAGAAGAAAAAAGATCCTCAGCTAAATAATAAAGGGAAAGAAGGGAAAGAACTAAAGAATGAAGATGTGACAAAGGAAAAACATCAGACCTTGGCAAAGTATAAAGGAAAAGGAAGAGAAGGTGAACCTCTCCTGTTTCAAAGAGTATCCAAAAAAAAAAAAAAAAACGCAAAAAACATAACCATAGCTAGTATAATTTAGTTACATATCAACATACAAATCAGTTAAATTTATATCCAAGGTCAATGGCACATTTCTTATTACAAATCTTATATTCAGTACTATATAAGTTACAAGCATCAATCCTGGCCAAAAAGTGGACATTAAAAAAAATATATATATGTGGGCTAAGGTTGTAGCTCAGTGGTAGAGTGCTTGCCTGGCATGTGTGAGGTACTGGGTTTGAGTCTCAGTACTGCAAATGAATAAATAAAATAAAAGTCTATCAACAGCTAAAAAAATTAAAGAAAAAATATACCTAAGTTGCTAAATAGAGATGTTTTCATAGATGCATTTTAAATATTAGCTCTCTAAAATCAGAATAATAAATTAAAATCATAATTTAGTGAGATGGAAATTTTTTTTCATTTTAGGTAATATAAAATACATGTATTTCTGTAGTCACAAAAAATTTTAATTTAATTTTACTGATGTAAGTTTGATAAACATAAAATTTTAAGCATGTTCTTTTACTAAAATGTCAATTTGCACATATATTTAATTTGCTTCCAGTATTTTTTCGCATGTTTATTGACTTTTAGCTTAGTCTCTGAGTTCTTAAGAAATAATTCCCCCTCCTTGAGATGGAGAGTGGTTTAACTCAGGTGGTGCATCTGAAAACTTAATTTTAAGTAAATAAACACAACACTTAGTATAGAGAAATTAGAATAATAAAAATAACTGCCTGAAGTTTTCTCAGTCCTTTACTTTGTATCACATAAGGCATTTTGGTAGATAACTCAATTAGTCATAGAATAGAGACACAATATGGTGTTTCTATACTGTACTGTGAATCTGAACAATTTTTTTGCTGAAATAAATTAAAATTGATTGGTTAGTGATACCTACCTGAGATAAATACACTCGAGTAAGTTCTGTTCCTTGGCTAACAATATCTCCCAAAGAAACGTCCCCACTCTATTTTTATTGCACATATGGTAAAGAAAAGGATATCTTTGGAAGTGTTAAGACAAAGCACACAATTGTGAGATTGAAATGCTTGGTGGATAGATCCTATTTTCTGTAAAAGAAACTATCTTTCAGTTTATCTCTGCTTCAAACAATCGTTTAGTGGTATTCTGACATCAGTTTAGTCACACATTTTGTAGCACTGCTAAAGATAGAATCTAAAACTTGTGATGCTCACCTCATTCAGGACTCTATAGATTTTTAACAGAAAAAAAATGAAAAGAGGTTTTACATTAAACCAGGAGTCATAAACCTCAGTCAGCAGGTGAAGAGAGCAATCTGAATTCACAAATTCTTTACATTAAACTGTATGTGGCCCCAACTGCTCAGATAATTTCAAAACCTATCTGATTTTTCTGTTATTCATGGCTAGCATCCATTCTGATTGGTTGCTGTATCCATTCAATTTGGTCCCTTTATATTTAACAGCTTTATCAAGGTAAAATTGATATATAACAAACTGTTCAAACTTAACTGTATATTTAAATATTTACCTATGTAAACACCTGTGAAGCTATCACTATAACAAAGATATTGAACATATCTATCACACCAAAAGTTTCCTTGTTCTTCTTTGTAATTCCTGCCCTCTGACCCTCCTTACTACTATTCTACTTTCTGTCACTGTACATTAGCTGACTATTACATATATAACTTGTACTTTATTTCCCCTAGTGTCTCTCAGTCAGCATAAGATGATGTTGTAAAATGAATCAGTTGTTTATTCTTTTGTATTACTAAATAATATCCATTGTCATAATATACTACGGTTTGTTTATCTATTTACCTGTAATGGAATGTTGCCTAAATTTTTAGGGTTATTGGAACTATGCATCATTGGGCTTTAAATGGATATACAATGATAATTGCACTTTCCTTGTTTTTCTAAATATGGTTAAGTATTTATCATAATGTAACTCTTCAAAGATATATTTCTGTTTCAAAATGTCAACACCTCAGAGGAGGCAAGCTGTTGCATTCCTCCCCAAATTTAGTTGGGGTCAGTACATTAAAATAATTGACTATCTTGATCAGTCAACAAAGGATTGAGTGACCTGAGTACTCAAATTAGAAAAAATGGCTGATCTGAGATCTTTGAAAACAAACAGCTTTTCACTGGAGTTCACTTATCCTTTCCTTACTTGCTTTTTTATGTCTATTTGTTTGGAGAAACTACATAAAACTTAGGCATTTTTAATATTTATAAGTAAAAAATAGTTAGAGCCTTATATTTATAGCTAACCTAAGAGGAGACAGCATCTATCTATTTAGCCGGGAAAAATTTTTAAATTTTTCTTCTCCCCCCGACTCCCAGTACTGGGGATTGAACTCAGTGGCTCTCTACCACTGAGCTACCTCCTCAGCCCTTTTGTGTATTTTATTTTGACACAATTTCCTGCTAAGTACCTGAGGAAGCCCTCAAACTTGTGATCCACCTATCTCAGCCTCTCAAGCAGCTGAGATTCTAGGCATGCACCCTGGGCCTGGCTTAATTTTTATTCTTGAATTTTGATAGCTATTTCAAAAACTAAAACTAAATTGTTTATTTTTAAATTAGAAAAAAAAATCTATTGATGTTGTTCTTTTAATTGAAGGATATAGACCAAGATGAGGCAGATTTCTAATTTTACTGATTGGCACTATAGGAAAATGCTCATATTTCACAGGTATGCCATTATTAATGCCAAATCCTGTGGTCCTTTTTCATGCAGAATTCCCACTGGGAGTACCACATGAGAAAGAAGTGCAGGATGAGACCCGATTATTATAACTCACAAGACTAATT